AATTTATAAATTTTTAGGGTTGAAAGTTATATCAATCAAATACACTTGAAATTATTTTCCATGTAATATATTTTATAGGCATATATTTTCCCTATAAAACATTTTTTTTCCACTCATTTTACACCCTTGCAATCAAACGCACCCTTACTTCAAAATTTGGGGCAGGGTTTGAGATGGCTTCGAAGGCAAGTCTTGAGTTTGGTATAAAAAATGAATTGATTTGTACAGGTAATATTTTAAAGAGGAAATTGACAATTTTTGTGTTGTTTATAAAAATTCCATATATTTAAATAATACCATATGCCTAATTCTTTTTAAATATTTTAAACTCTATGACGAGGCTGCAGTGTTCATGTAAATTTCCTGGATTGATTCACCCGATTTTCTACTAAAGTTCTTTCCTTTGACCACAAGTTTCTGCATTTCATTTGGTCTTTTTTTAATATATGCGAAAGTTTACCAGATGAGTTAGATGAAAAGTTTACGTCATTTAATAATCATTAATTACTCGGAAAGAGTGTCTGCTTCTACAAACGCGGTTTCTTTGAAAACGCTGCGTTTTTACCTTTAAAATAATTAAATAGAAACAAAATACAGAAATTAAAAGGAAAAAAATTGTGAGTCCCTTTTCCTAACAACTGCTGTAATGTAGTATTCAAAAACTACCGGCTACCGCGTACAGCCAGTATCCCCCCACCACACACACACACACACACACACTCTCTTTCTTCCATGAGTTCCCAGTCGCGTATATTCATACAATCACACACGTATATATAAGCTTATCATATTCTGCTGCCAAATCAGTATCTAAACTTCTCACGACGGAAAATTTTGTTTCCTCATCAGTTCTCGATCAACCCTGCTGCCTGCATTATATTCCTGATATTCTTTTAAGGAATTTAAGCAAACAAGAAAAGATTTCAAAATGCAGAAGAACAACTCAGATTTTACTCGCAGAGCGTTGAAAATCCTCCGTTTAGCCTTGTTGTGGGCGAGAGAAGGCGGCTTGTTCCGGAAGAGACTGGCAATAAATTCAAATACACTACCTAAGTATATCAAACGTCTCCTGCACGTTGGCCGCAGCGGAGACCAGCTGATTTACGGCGAGCGTGAGCTGTCCTTCGACGCCACCCCGCTCATCCACGTCAAAATGCATCGTCCTTCTTCATTGTGGTTTAAGATGCCTCGTATTCCCTGCATCAACAATCCGCAGGTAATTGATGATGCATACGATTTTGATTTCGATGAGGAAATCGAAATGGATGACGATAACGTAGTGAAAGAAAGATTTTCGAATGGTGGCGATGATGAAAATGGTTTTGATGAAGAAATTGATTTGAAGGCAGAGGAATTTATAGCCAAATTCTATGAACAATTGAAGTTGCAAAGGCAAATATCATATCAACAGTACAATTAGATGCGCCAGCTGATTAATATATGCGTGTGTATACATATATTTGAGCTTTGAAAAAATTTCGGCGTTTCATTTTTCGTCTCATTTTCACTTTCATATACTTGATTCAGTGCGCCTGCGCACTCGAATATGTCATCTTAAATGGAATTTTTCTCTCTATTTTTAAGATTATATGTTAATAAAACATTATCTATCTTGAAGTTTAGCATCGTCCTCGTGTTAAATTGATAGACAATAGAATATAGATAAGTGGACACTTGAGCAGTCTGGAAACAAGGCCTTCGTAGTCTTCTTTCTTCAACGTAGAAAAGTGGACTTACAACATTGAGCTAAGTTCTAGCTGGCCCATCAACCTTGTAGGGTAGAAACTAAGGATTAATATAGTATTGGAAAATGCTAAGGATACATGGCTCTTTACATAATGGTGTTCCCTATATAACTACTAAGGATTAATATAGTATTATATAACTACCATAATTGTTAATTCCATTAAACAAAAATATATATTTTATCCCTCCATAACATTATATTTTTATAATGCTCAATGAAATTAACCATTAAAATCTTAGTGTCCGATTGATTGCAAAAATAGAATTGGGTGTAAAAAGAATGAATTTCAGGAAATTTAATTGTCTAAAACTTATTTTATTGGACATATTCAATTAATTGTGTTTGATTGATATAATTTTTCGCTTGAAAAATATTGAAATTTTAGATCTTTTTGTGTTCGTTTGACTTTGTTTTCTATAAAAATTATCTATTAATAAAATTTGTTTCCATTGTCAAAAAAAAAAATATTAAAAAAAAGTTGCCTAGAAAAGCCCAAACCCATGGGAAAAGTTTTTCCTCAAAAATCAAGAAAATGTGGAAAATCAATTCCATGAAAAATTTAGTCGATCAAATATGCAAAAATGTGAAAATAAATTATAATTTACATCTTTTATGAAAAAGAAAGTCAAATCAAACATGGCCTTAGTTATAAATGTAAACATCACAATGTGCTTGACATTTTTTCTCTAAAGCATGAAAAGAAATGAATCTAACCAACTGTGATAATATTTAGTCCGGATAAGAATCAATCATTGTACGTTAAACCATTTAATTTAATTCTAAGTATGCATAAAATATTAAAATTGTGATGTTATTAGTACTCATTTGGTCCGACTGAAACAATGCTTATTTTGAAAACAAGGACTATTTTTGATTATTTGATACTATTTGTCCTTCATAAGAAATTTCATCTTCCCACCAAAATCAGCTTACAGTCCATAAATAAGATTTTATGAAGGACACAGACGTTTATAGATTCCATACCCAACACGTATAAACGCCAAATATGTACGCACACAGCCCTCGTCCTCGCTCAGAGCGCCTCTGCCTCTGCCTCTGCGTACAATAATTGCATGTTCTCTCAACCACTCTCTCCAATAATGCTCCTCTCCACCCCTAAAAATGACAGCGTTTCCACCGCCGCCGGCGGTTCACTAAACCTTCTCCCCGAGCCTCCACGTTTTAGTGAAGTTATTGATAGTACTTGCTCCACCCCTTACGTCAGTGCACCATCCAGTCCTGGCCATGGTTCTTCGCTTCCATCTGGTTACTTCTTCAGTGCTCCAGCTAGCCCAATGCATTTTCTGTTGTCAAAAGGGAAGGATGAACCGTTTTCTTCTAAGTATGAGCCAGTTTTTGGAACTTCGGAATCTGGGTCGTCTTTCGAGTTTGAGTTTTCTTCAAGATTGTCGCCGAATGGACTGACTGGAAATGGATCCATGAGTTCTGCAGAGGAGTTGTTCCTTAATGGCAAGATTCGGCCCATGAAACTGTCTTCCCACTTGCAGATGCCGCAGGTTCTTCTGCCGTTGGTGGATTTCGACGGCGCCGGCGATTATGAGCTTGGCGAAGAAAATAGTACTAGCATGAGAGGAAGAGATCTGGGGATGCGCAATCCTGGATACGCTCACCGGAAAACCAGATCTATGTCGCCTTTTCGTACTACACAGTATGAATTTCACGCCGTTAAAAATGCCTTCATCCATGAAGACAGTGAAAAAGAAAAGGAAACTGAAGCCCCGGCGTCTGAAGAAACGACGCCGTCAGGCTCGGCATCTTCATCACGTTCGTCATCTACTGGAAGGAACAACTCAAAGAAATGGATGTTCTTGAAGGACCTTTTGCACAGAAGTAAAAGTGAAGGCAGAGCCAGTAACAAGGACAGATTCTGGTCAGCCATTTCATTTTCGCCGGCAAAAGAGCAATCACCATCTCCGGCGACGCTCACTCCGACTTCAACATATAAGAAGAGAGTGAAAAATGAGACTGCTGAAACCCAGAAGCAGAAGAAAGGTAAGAAAGTTCCGGTGGCCGGAAAACCGGCAAATGGTGTATGGAAACGCCGGGTCCCGCCTTCGGCTCATGAGCTGCATTACACTTCAAACCGGGCTCAGGCGGAGGAAATGAAGAAAAAGACATTTTTGCCATATCGGCAAGGACTTCTTGGATTCCTAGGATTCAGTTCCAAGAATTATGGTACATTTAATGGGCCGACCCGAACCCCGAACCCGGTTTCTTCCGGGTAAAACCATAAATAATATGGAGTGTTTGTAGTATTTCGTGCTTATGTATAAATATTGGTAATTTAAGTTTTTGCAAGCTTTGGTTGTAGGTTGGATGTCCAATGTTTTTTTATCGCATTATAGACTAATTTAGCCCCTGTTTGTTTACCATTATTTCAAAAAATTGTTTGCTACAGTAAGATTCTCAATCATACATTTACTCAATAAAATATTTTAAACATAAACAAATAAACTTACTTTAAATTTCAATCACATATTCTCCAAAAAATACTATTCATTACTCTATTTTTCTCCAAATAATGGGAAACAAACACACCCTTAGAGTGATCAACAAATTTAGTGTCAATTTGAGCCCTATTTTTTTTTTTTTACTAGAATGCATTTTATATTAATGAGAATATGTGGTTACAAATTTTGGATTTACATAACGTTAAATATTATTTTATTGAATATTTGTTATTAAAAAAAGAGAAATTTTATTTTGAAAATAGCGAGAATCAAATAAGGGCTTGAAGTGAAGTAATTGGAAGAATTACAATTTACAAACTCTATTTTACGATGAGATATATATCTCGTATTCTTCTTTTTTTTTTTTTTTTTTTTAATCATAGACTTGATTAATCTTAAATTTTTTAGTAGAAGTAGATTGGCCGAGTTACAAACTTTGGTGCACGATGAGATCCAAGAAAAATAGTCTTATTTTCGAGGCTTTAGCTAATAAAATAAGAAGTCCAAGAAAAATTAATTAGTCTCCATAGCTATGATATATAGCTCCTGTTTGATAAAGATTAAAATTCAAATTTTAATTTTAATTTAAATTAATATTGAATTAAAATCACATATTTTATAGGATTAGTAACTTTTTAACTACGTATTTTATCAAATTTTATTAAAAAATTTATTTTAATCTTGCTAAACAGGGCGTAATTGTAATAATTAGTTTTATCAGCTTTCACTTTTTAACTTTTTGACCAATAAAATGGCCAATTATCCTCAATAACTTGTCAAAATTACAACACTGTCCGTTATCTAATCATAATTTAATATTTTAGTATCAAATTGGCATTTTTTCTTTTTACCATTTTACTGAAAAGGTAAATCATTTTGCAAGTGTTTTCAGGTTAGTTTGGCTTATTTTTATAAATATCTATAATATATTAAATATCATATCAAGCGAGAATAATTTTTTTGACGATTATAACTATACTACAATTCAATTATTTCAATAAGGCCCTGTTTGATAGGGCTTATTTTCCATGGAAAATGGAAAATAAATTCATTTTCCCACTTTTTAAGGTGTTTGATAGCTCTAATTTTTCAGGTAAAACATTTTCCCCACTTTTCCTCACGCGCCTGATTTTCCAGCAAAAACGTGAAAACACTTTCCTCAACTTCATTTGGATTTATATTTTCCACCCAAGGTGGAAATCACATTTGTGCTCGTTGGTGGTGGAGGCAGAGAGTCATTTGCAAGGCGTTGGGTCTTCCACCACGGCGACAGCGATGGCGGCGGCGACGGCGACGGTGAATAATACCTACGTATGGGTGGCCAAGGGGGGGAGAGTGGAGACCCAGAATTCGACGCTTTGATGGTGTTTTCCAGAATGGGGCAAAGGGACGGTGGTGGAGTTAGTGGGTCGAAGGGATGGTGGACGAAGGGGCGCAGCCGCGCAGGGACGGTGGGGGAGTTAGTGGGTCGAAGGGACGGTGGACGAAGGGGCGAAGGGACTGTTGGGGAGTTAGTCGGAGGTGGGATTGATGGTGGAGGAATTTGTTGAACTGGATTGATGCGGGAGGAATTGGGGACTGTTGGGGAGTTAGTCAAAGGTTCAATTGATGGTGGCGGAATTGGTGGAGAAACTGGATTGATGCGTGAGGAATTGGGACAGTAGGAGGAGTTGGGCGGTGGTGGGATTGATGGTGGAGGAATTGGTGGAGCAACTGGATTGATGCGGTAGGAATTGGGACGGTGGGGGAGTTGGGCGATGGTGGGATGAAGCTGGTGGTGGAGAGTTAGCTGGTAGAGTTGGGCTTCCAGTGCAGGTGGTGGAGAAGTGCAGAAGTGCAGGTGGTGGGATGAAGCTGGTGGTGGAGAAGTGCAGGTGGAGAAGTCCAGGTGGTGGAGTAGGAGGAGTCTGGGAGGTAAAGGGGGCGTTGATGTGGGAGGATGACGGATGTTGTCGAAAATTTTTTGTCAAGTTTGATAGCTTCCCACAAATAATCATAATTTTCCATGAAAAATAAAGCCTATCAAACACCAAAAAATTGAAAATCTCAGCATTTTCTAGGTGGAAAATTATACCAATCAAACGCAACTAATTAACAATTCCTTGCAAAATATTTTATTGGCAATTATTTTCCCTAGAATTCATTTTATTTCCATCAATTTTCCACCATTGCCATCAAACAGACCCTAATATCTTAATTTTCGTTTTTCAATATATATTTAATTTATAAACTGTAATAAATACTATAATTAATTTTCAATTAATTAACATTCACGTTCATTTAATTAATATTAATTAAAATTTCACGTTCACATTTATGTCCTTGTCCACGTTATTAATTATCGATTAGTTAACCATCACATTCATTTAATTAATATTAATTAAAATTTTACATTCAATAGTGCAGTTCATTATTCACGTACACGTATGTTAACTAACATCCAGTTTTACGAAATTAAGTAATATTCATTTAATATAAATGATTTAACATTCATGATCCCATATATTTTTTAGTATTAATTATAAATTAATTCATGCATCGTATTTATCATTCATCCTTATTATGTATTTAGTTGTAATTCTAATACTCATATTCAAACATACATTTTACTGTTTACGTGCATGTATAATAATTAACATTTATTTTCAAGAACTTGCATTTCTCTCATATTTAAATCAAAAGTGTAAATTGATGGTCAAACATTACTTTCACAACACTTATAAAATATTTCAAAATAACGTGCAATGCACGTTCAACTCTACCTAAACCTCTTTATATTCACGCATCGCACATTCTCTAATCTATATTTACTTACAGTTGGATCCCCGAACTATTGGAAATATAGCAAGTAGTTACTTATATTATTCTGTCTTCTGAAATCCCCAACATTTTATTATTTACAATCAAGTCCCAGCGATACTTTACCATATATTTGGCTAAAGACTCATTTTTGTTAGCAAGACAAAGTACCCCTTTTCTTTAAAACAAAACATATTGCATGCGAAAGGGTTAAGTTATTTATTACAAGTTTGGGGCAATAATAGGAGGCTAAGGGGTATATTCAATTAGGATTTTGAAGACATTTATTGATTTTTTAAGTGACGACTTTTGTGGATTTCACTTTTATAGATTTGCAAGTAATTAATCGAAATCTTTCAAAAACTTCTATAGATTTTTATTTTAAATTTTGTATAGACTTTTGTAGAATTCATAACTTTTGAAGACTTTCATTTAAAATAGAATGAACAATGCTATAAGTAGAGATAAATTTCACAGAATGCACACAGGAATTTAAAATGGATGGAATTGATTCAAAAATTCAGGAGGGAAAAAAAACAGATACACGGACAGAATTTTCCAATTCAAATTTCTGTAGGAAGTCTCTGGCAATATTTACTGTACTTAGAGAATTATTGAAATAGAATTCACTTGGATTTTCACGCAAGAGAGAGATGATCAATCCTCATCCCCTTCCCCTATGTAATAAAAAGTAATTTTGATAGAATAAAATAAAAATTTAAGTTACCTTCATTAGATAAACAAATAATCAAAGTTTAAAAAATATATATTTACAAAATATTTCAAGTATTTTTTGACAAAATAAATAAGAAATATCTAATTTTCAGTATTATCAATATGTTTGACCTTCAAAAAATGAAATTTTGTTTTTTTAGAAAAAAATGAAAATCAAACAAGAGCTTATGCTTTTAACTAAATTTGAGTTACAAATTAAACCACAAGGCACATCCCGAAGTAAAGACAAATATTATGAAAATGAAAGTACAGGGACTGAGGATTCCAAATTATTTGGTCGAGGACCTATTGATACACTTTCAATAGGTTGGGGATACCATCTCTTATAATCTATAGTACCACGTGACAATCTTATTCCAGAGATGCTGATTGTGGTGACAGGAGTGAGATAGAAGCATAGAGCTGCGTATAGTCTCAGAAAATGGGTTCAGAAATGAACCCTTCTTCATCGGCGCCGGTGCCGACGCCCGCGTCTCCTTCATCGTCATTAACTGCGTCTCCGACTGGAAAGCGAAGTAGGGATCCCGAAGACGAGGTTTATCTGGATAATCTTCATTCCCACAAGCGTTATCTCAGCGAGGTTCCTCTCTCTCTCTCTCTCTCTCTCTCTCTCTCTACACATGTATGTATGTTTGGATGGTTGTATAAGAAAAGTTTCGTGATTATGGGCTAGTTGTGGTTTTCTGACTGTTGGATTTCGATTTTTTGATGATTCTGTTTCAGAGAATTTTCTTCTTTTTTTAACAAAAAAAACAATTTATACGAATAGGTTTGCAATTTTTTTTCTGTAGTGATTCCTTTATGTTTAATTCTTTAATTAGGTTATTAAGGATCGGCCAATGCAGGGGAAAAGGGATCATACTTAGGTAATTCCCTTGTTCTTGTTTATAGAAGAGCAACTTTCAAGAAACTTAAATCTTGATTTATTTCTAGATATTGAAACCTTTGTTAAATGATTAGAGAATTCAAAGGAAATGCCCAAGCTTTGTGATTCATTTGAAATTTCCTTTGCTGTCCTTTCGGAAGAAATGATTGACATTCAAGAAACATAAATTCTTATAGTTCTTTATAGAATCCGTGGAAAAGGCAGGATACGAGGTTTTGAATTTTCGTTCTATACTTGATTCCTTGTGGCATGTTTGGTAGGGAGCATATAACAAAACTAGTTCGAAGGAACAGAAAATAGTTGAGATCTTGCTTGTTATACTGTTCAGTTTTCATTGCCAATGCTGGGAAAAAGG